ATTGTTTTCTTTTCTTTTCTTTTTCTTTTTTGGTGACATGGCTAATATGGAAATATGTTTTGCATGATTTCACATGTATAATTAATTGATATCATATTGTTTGTTTTCTCAGTGGGAGGGGGAAGGATAGGAGGGAGGAAGAGAATTTAGAACTCAAAATTTAAAAATAGAAGAATGTTATAAATAAATGATAAATTAAAAATGAATTTAAAAGGGAAAGTAGTTAGTTCAGACAGATATGAATTTTAGCTGGTCACTGATGATAGAGATATGTTGGCAGAGCAGTGAAATAGCCAATAATTTTGGCTTCTAGCAGTCCTATCTTTGCCAGTAAATTATTTTTGCAACCTTGGGCAAATTTCTTCCCCTGTGTTTGCTTCTTGATTTGTAAAGTGATAAGATTGGACTTGATGATCCTAAGGTCACCTAGGTCTAAAATTCCATGTGTATGAATTTGTGATTAGTAGGAGGAAGCGAATGGAGAAATTGATCAAAGGGCCTGAGTAACTGAGAATAGTAGTAATGCTTATTTTCAGAGATGAGAATTTCATGATGTATTTTGGTAAGAACTATTAGCAAAACATTGGTGGAATCATTGTCTAGTATTAGAGGATAACCTAATTTCCCTTAAATTGCAGGTTCTGAGTGCTGACTGTTAGTGGAGTTGTTGGGGGGGGGGGTATATCCATTTGGTAGTGGCAGAAGACCAGTGGGAGATTGGCTTTTGGAGGTGGTTTAGAGGGATGCTGGAGATAGATCAATTAGGCTGATATAGAGACATCAGTGGTCTCAGAGCATTAGCACTATTTTCTCGCTCATGACTTGCAGTAACTTGGTTTACCTGGCTATATTGATTGTTGATAATTGAATGTGAAAGAAGGAAATATTTTTAGTGCTTAGATTAGGTAGAAGGAAGTTAAAAAAGCATGATTTAGAGTATGGACAATTAGTTTTTTGAAGAGAAGAGAACCTAGATAAATGAATCAAGAAATATATATTAAGTGTTTACTATTTGTCAGGCATTGTACTAGGGCTCTAAAGAGAGAAATGAGAGTCTCTGCCCTCAGGGAGCTTATTTTTTTGTTGGGGGAGTCATAGAGGTCATCTAATACAACTCCCCCTGCCATTTAAATAGGAAGAAATGAGGCCCTGGGAAGTTCAATGATTTGCCTAGAGTCACATAGCAAAGCTGGAATTCAAGCACAAATGTCCAGTGTTCATTGTACTTCCCTCCGCTCCCCTCCCCTCCCCTCCCCTTCCGTTTCTTTTCTTTTCTTTTGCTTTTTGATGAGGCAATTGCGATTAAGTGACTTGCCCAGGGTCACACAGCTAGTAAGTGTTATGTGTCTGAGGTTGGATTTAAACTCAGGTCCTCCTGACTCCAGGGCCGGTACTCTCCCCGCTGTGCTACCTAGCTGCCCCTCATTGTACTTTTCTACACTATCATGGGGCAGCCAGGTGGTGAAGTGGATAGAGTGCTGCGTCTGGAGTCAGGAAGATTCATCTTCCTGAGTTCAAATCTGGCCCTAGACATTTACTAGCTGTGTGACCTAGGGCAAGTCACTTAACCTTGTTTGCCTTAGTTCCTCATCTGTAAAATGGGGTATAGAAGGAAATGGCAGACCACTCCAGTATCTCTGCCAAGAAAACCGCAAATGGGGTCACGAAGAGTCTGACACTACTGAAAGGACTGAACAACAACAAACAACACTACCATGGATTTCCAGTAGACGGGAGTAGCAGGAATATTTTCCTTAATAGGGACAAATGAGATAGTTCCCATCTTTGCTTTTCTCCTTACCCCAACTTTTCAAGTAGAATTGTGAAGCCTGTAGGTTTTAAAAACCTATCCAAATATCCCCCCCCCAAAAAAAGTCCAAGGAAGAGCCCAGGAAAGTCTGGGCTGGGAAGACCTGAGTCCAAATCCTGCCTTAGATACCTATTAGTTGACTTGGGCAAGTCACTTAAACTCTCTCAGCTTCATTTTCTCCATCTGTAAAACAGGGATGATAACAGCACTTATCTTACAGGGTGCTTAGGAAGATCAAATACGGTAACATGTGTAAAGCTCTTTGTACCCTTAAATCATTGTATACATGATAGCTAGTATTCATTATTTTTATAATTATGTTGAACAAGTGGATCTCCTTAGATTAAAGACAGCAGAAAAAGTATTTCTGAAAATCACTTTCTAATGTGATTTATCTTTTCTCTAAGTGTTTTTGATTTTTTTTTGTTTGCTGTTTTAACTGATAACTTTTTAAATGATTGGCATTACGGACAACATATAATCCCCAAAGAATGAATGATGTATCATCTGACCTTGTTTTATTATTGGCTTCATTGTCCTCTAGGCTCTAATGAAAGGATGTTCTGTATCTGTTTGTCCTGTTATAGAAATAAAGGTCTTGTTTTTTTTTTTCCTGAGTCTTTAATGAATTATCAACATGGGGAAATTAGTAATATATAGCACATTTATAAGCGCACAGAAATAAGATAATAAGAAAATAATCATTTTATTCATCATCTTTGGAGAATAGTTTCCAAAAAATGGATTTTCCAAAAAGCTGAAGCTTACTAGTTTGAGTGACAAAATAATTTCATTTAAACTATTTCTGTTGTTGTCAGAATTATTTCTAAAATGTTTCCATGTCTTATTATTCTTACCTTATGGTCATTAGGAAACAATTGTTCTACTGGACTGTAATATAGTATTGCATATTTGGACCTTTTGAAGTGTACAAAGCTTCTAGCTTCTTCTTTAATTTCTCTAGACAGCTGTTTTCTTTCAGTCTGTTTGTCTTTTTCTTTTTTTTCCTCATTCATCACCTCATGTTGCAATTAGTGTCTGCTTTTTACAAGCCCTCTTCTTGACATGTCTTTTCCCAGCTCTTTTACTCTACTCTCTCCTAACCAACCTCAATACCATTTTTTTAAGTTTGATGCTTCTAGTTGGCTATCAGCTTATAAGCCAAGTAACTGAGTGTCTAGAATCACCCTTAAAATAAAATCATACATGCTTCAGAATTATAGACTGGGACATATCTTTTTGATGTTCAGAAACTGTTTTTGCTCATTGTCTGGTTTTTGCCTGTGTTCTGGAGAGTTGTTGGAAGACAAGTCAAGAATTTATTAATCACTTGATATGAGTGATTTTTGCTAAACTCTAGAGATATAAAGAAAAGCAAAAGTCCTTGATTTCAAAGAGCACACATTCTGATGGACAAATGCTTTCCAAACAAGTGAAGAGTTAAAATATTAGAGAAATCACTGGGACCAACTAAAAGGTAACTTTTGGGAACTCAAAAGAAGTTGTACCAAACCAACAAATTAATGAACGATTATAAGTGTATCATAATAATGTCTTGATCAGTGAGTGGTTTGGTTTTGTCCCCTGCTCATAACATGATAAAACCTCATTTCAGTCCTTTGCCCAAGATGCAGTTGTATATTTAATGATAGATGTGAATTAGTATTTGAGTCCTGCCTTTAGGTCTATTTTCTAGAAGTCTGAATGGGCCAAAGTATGGTTTCTATGACATTTATTGCCTCTTTGTAACACTGAAATGTTTTCTAGGAACCAGTTAATGATGTTAGATAGGGTATGACTGTAGTTGTATGGTTAGGAATAATTGTAATGATGAAATCAACTTCTGCAGAACAGATTGGAATGGGATGTTTTGTACCATATTTTATTTGTACCTTGTATTAATGCGCTACTTATAAAAGTGACAGAATTTAGATGTAGGCATATTCTCTTGCTCATCTTTTCCTTTGGCAGGACTTGTTAGTCTTTTTGAATGAAAAGAATTATTTTCTTTTCAGAGAGTCTTTTGTCAGACTCGACTCTCAGAAATATTTTGTTTCTGAAACACTAAATATATGAGGGGGAAAATGAAGGACATAAGTGTATGTATGTATGATTACATATATGTAATATATACATACAATATGCATATGTGAAATAATGACGTGTATGTATCCCATGATATATTTTCCAGGTTTGTGGAGAAAAGAAAAAAAGTGTTTAAAAAAGACCATTAATATTTATTGAAGAATAAAGCTCATATGCATCTCTTCGTTTCTGATAACAAAACAAGTTAATTTACCTTAATTGTTAAGCTCATAATTGTCTTTTTATCCAGAGCATGATTCATAGGCTGTAGCTTTGTAGTAAACAGTAAGACCCTGCCAAGTTTTGAATGCACTTTCTGCCTTGTTTGTGCCTGATGTTAATGATGAATACTGCGCTCTTTGTTGCTTGATTTCAGTTTCATGAAATCAAGTTTCGGAACTGGAAAGAACCTCAGGTTATCTTATCCAGTCTCTGCATTTTTGAGTGATGATCATTGGGGGGAAATCATGTATTTAGGTATTTGTGGTGTACTTACCAGGTTCATAGCTTAGGTTCCTAAGTTGTAGGCATTTCTTTTGTGTCCCTTACTTGGAAGAAATCAGTTCAGCAACACTTACAAATACAAAGTCAGAATAGAAATTCTGAGTAGTAATAGGTTCTTTTTCTAGACAAATGATCTATAGAAGATTAGGGCCCCATAAATTGTCTGACTGGTTTTAGTTGCTGCTGCTGTTGTTTTTCATCCTTCATAGACATCACAATGTTTGGGTAAAATAGTGGATAATGGATTATATCTTGACTTGTGTGTGAATTGGATTTAAGTGACTGCAGGGTTATGCAAAGTTGTCAGCCTCACTCTCTCTTCCAGAGTCATTGAAGTCCAGTGGCAAGTCAAAAGTCAAGATGACTAGGGATGACCTGGGATGCATTGGATGACCTTGGTCTTCAATGTTTGACCAAGCTGTAAGCACTCCATAGTGCCTGCTTTAGCTGCCTTATTGTTCAGTAATTATTTTGGCTTTTTTTTTAAAAGCTACCTTTGGATTTTTAACAAAGCTGTATTTTTAAAAGCTGTTTGCTTTCTCCTTCTCCCAAACCCAATAGCGTTATTAACAGATAATGTCATTGTTTTGTTTATCTACAGCACAGCAAAGTACAGTGTGGTTACATTTCTACCTCGATTCTTGTATGAGCAGATTAGAAGAGCTGCTAACGCCTTCTTCCTCTTCATTGCCTTATTGCAGGTAATGGTTTTTTGTTTGTTTTTGGTTTGTTGTTTTGGATGCAAATACAACTGTTTCCTTGCAAACAATAATAAATAGCTAAAACTTTGATTTTGAAAGATATTTTAGTTTGTAAGACTTTTATTTCAAATTGAGTTTTTTAGCCCTTGTGTAAGGAAAGTTGATTTGTAAGGAAAATCCTAGTTAATAAAAAAAAAGTCACAGTGAGACTGTATGTGTGATTATTGGGGCCCAGTGGGCTGGATTTTTGATCTATTCTGTGCAGAACCAGAAGTGTATTAAAACTACAAGTCAGTTCACAGATATCCTAATGAAAAATAATTGAGTCTTTAAGTTACTGAGATCTTGATTAGAAGGAAGGCTCAGTTGACTGGGTTGCAGTGATGATCTGGGATACATTTTCTCTTGGGTTGATTTAGCCATCATTGACCCTTCTCTGGATAACTTCCGCTAGATCTTTTAAATGAGCTCCAGTATTAAAAGGATATGATGTCCCCCGATGGTCAACATCAGCTTTTGATAGATAGTGCTTTAGCATTTAATGTCATTTTCAGAGCTATAGTAAATTGAGGATTCTTGGAAAGCGGAACCAAGGGTATAACTTTCTTGTAAACCCCAGGTGGGGGGAGACCTTGAGTATTGCTACCCCTCTGACTTTTTGCAGTTAGACAAATGATCCTTTCAGGTATTTCTAGAGCCAGGTCAGTGAATGCTTTATTCTATTCCAAACACTGAAGGATTTTTCCTCCTTTTTTTATATAGCACAGCACAGTTCAGTAAAATAATATGTTCAGTAAAATAGAAATGTCAGGAAACACATTTAAAGTGCTGTGTTGTTTTTTGGAGTTGTTTCAGGTAGACTTGAAATAGCAGTGAAACGGGAAAAATGGGATTCCTTTTACACTAAGGATATCTTGAGTAGCCCACTAAATGCATATTTATTTTGTGAAGTCCTACAATCCTTGCCCTTCCTTTGGACTCATTATTATGCTAGGCATTTAGACAACAACAATCACCACCACAAGAATCCTTCCCTTCAAGGAACTTTCATTGTCTAACCATGGAGAAAAGATTTAAAAATGCAGGGGTTCAAGGCAGTGTATGATTTTGTATTAGAAGGGTGAGTGCTTAAGTGCTATCAAGCTGTAAGAAGCATTGGGGATCAGGGATTTGGGTAGGCCTTAGAGCTAGATCTTGAAAGATAAACAGAATTTGAAGAAGTGGTATATGTAGTACCCTAAGTATGAGGAGCAACATGAGCAGAAGTCTAGAGGAAGGAAGCATAGCTAATGGGAAGAGTATGTTTGGGTTAGAGCAAAGGGTCCAGATAATGGAGAGAAGGTTCATACAGGGAGAACAGGCCCAAAGAGAATAGGCTCTAAACTTGGATTTTTTTGGAGAATAAATGTTCTAAAGCATTTTTAAGGGGAGGGGAGAGTTTCTGTAAACTTCTCTTGGTGAGTATTAAATTGAAATTGAAAATGAAATGAAAACCCCAAATATGAAGCCTTTGAAAGGTGGTTATTTTGGTAATTGTCTCCCTTTCCAACCCTGCAATAGTACAGTGGTTTGGGGAGTGTTCCAGGGAGGGGCTTGACCCACTAACAAGAAAACCCTTCTACACAAATTGTCATTTCCTGGGCATGCTATGTCCCCAGTGTGTTAGTGATTTAAACCAGTATCTTGTTTGGTGGATACATTAATCCTGTATTTCTGATTATTTTGCAGCAAATTCCAGATGTTTCTCCAACAGGAAGATATACCACCCTGGTGCCATTGATATTTATCCTAACAGTTGCAGGCATCAAAGAGATTATAGAAGATTATGTAAGTTAACTTTTGATTATAGAAAGAAACATGTTCTTAGATCATTGAATTAGATGTAATAAAACCTTCAGAATGGTTGATGCATTTTTTAAGACTATGTATGAAATTGTTTGGAATTAGTATAGTTATGTTTGCAGCTGATAAAAATCAAATATCTGATAGCTAAAGAAATTGAAATATACATATGTGAAACTTTTTTGTTTATATAGAACAGCATTTGAACAAGATCACCTTCACCAGCACAAAAACTGTGACAATGTAGTTAAGGAGATAATACATACATGTGAGAACCTTAAAATCCACGAGAAGGAACAGACAGATGAACACCAACTAAGTACAGTGTATGAGAGCGGAGGTTACAACTCGAGTCTTATTTTGATTGTTCCTTGCTACTAGCCTTGTGAATGGGAAATGCCCAATATGATTCCTATTTTACTTTTCTCCCATACTGTGCTTGCTTTCCCGTGTGCCAGGTATCATTTTATACGTCCTCATTTCCCTTCTTTTACCTTGTTTTCTATGATATTTACCCTGTGAGCCTGACTGTTGCTATTCATACAACTGATTTTTATACAGGTATATTATCAGATGTTATTCACATTTTTTTCCCTTTATGGAAAAGTTTTCTATATCAGCGAAATGTTTTGGACCATATTCACAAAAATTGGAAAAGAAAGCCCATTGTCATTTAGAATGCTGGCTACCTACTCTCACATTTTGTAGTGTTTACTGCCTCTAATTTAGGTTATTACTTCAAGAATTTATGATTTATCCATGCAGATACTCTTCTACAGATATAGAGCATTTCCATGCCTTAGTAGGTAGTTTGAGATCATGTGGGCCAAAAAAAAAAATCACTTGGTGGCAAATAGGCCTAAACTCCCAGTGAAAAGGGAAGAGTGCTAGATTTGTAGTCTGAGAACCTGAGTTCAAATCCTGGCTCTGATATTTATTACCTATGTGTTCTTGGCAAGTCACTTTAACATCTCTGGGCCTCAGTTTCCTCATCTGTGACATGGGGAGTAGGGAGGTGAATTTAATGGCCTCTAAAAGCCATTGTGAATGTATATCTAGGGTTATAAACTCTCTGATGAGCCCTTAGAACTTAAGCAAAACTGGGCCTTAAGCAAGAACTGGTGGACACAGATTGCTGTTGGGCCTGTATTCCAAGCTTTTTCAGCTTGGTACAGCATTCCAGGGCTGTAACTCTGCTGGAGTAGCCTGCAGGAACTCAGGGTCACTTCTGTACCATGATGAAGTATCAGAAAAGGACATGGAAGGAGGAGAAAACCATATAAGAACAAGGAATACTTGAATTAAATTCCTTTCTTAGCTGTAAAACCAAGTTTCCTGTTCTTCGTACTTTGTGCCATTATGGCTTTATTGTGCTAGATAGAGTATTGATATGGACCTTTTGAATTTAATATATTTTATTTATTTTAATATTAATAATATAATTTTTTTAATATATTTATATTCTAGAATTTAATATATTTTAATGTATTTTTCTTTGCTTTTTTTCTATAACAGAAACGTCACAAAGCTGACAACACAGTTAACCGAAAGAAAGCAATAGGTAAGCTAACTTTTCTGCTCTAAAATCCACAGTTCACGTACAAAATTACCAGTAGGATTTAAGAAATGAATTACTGGCTAATATTTTGGTATTTTATGGTAGGAAAAAAAGCAGCATATGTTTGATAAAATAAAGGAATGTAATTAAAAACAAAGGGTAGCTGGGTGGCGCAGTGGATAGAGTGCCAGGCCTGGAGTCAAAAAGATTCATCTTCCTGAGTTCAAATCTGACCTTACTAGCAGTGTGACCCTGGGCAAATCACTTAACCCAGTTTTCTTATCTGTAAAATGAGCCGGAGAAGGAAATGGCAAACCACTTCAGTATCTTTGTCAAGAAAACCCCAAATGGGATCATGAAGAGTTGGATACAACTGAAACCACTAACAACAAAAAACAAATAAAAATATAATTATGTTAATTATTCTATTCTTCTAGTATTTGATTTATTCTACTTAGAATAATAGAATAGTAAAAAAGGGGAAAGGAGTACAATTTTTAGGAAATAGTTTAAAAAAGCAAAAATACCAGAAATTTGATATCTTTATTGTCTTAAAAAGTGTCCTTACCTATCCTGTAATTTAAAATGTATTTCTTGTTATTTGCAGGATATTAGCCAGGTTTCCACCCTATGTGTTTTTCTGACTGGACTTTTTTTTTTCTTTTTAATGCTGAAAGCAGAGAGTATAGATTTTCCATGCCCTCTATAGGACCACTGCTTTTAAAAAAAATTTGGATATAATATTTTGTCATGTTTCTAAGTATACAATCTTATCTTTGCCATGATGCAGAGAGGATTAAAATACCCCAAAGATAATTAACATGAATTTAGTTAGTTTTTATAGAAATGCTCTTTGGTTACTTGGGCTATACCATTGTAATATAGAAAATTAATATAGAACTATTTTCTTTTCAGTGTTAAGAAATGGTATGTGGCAGAACATTATTTGGAAAGAGGTAAATACTAATTTAAAGATGACGTAGCAATTGTTGTTTGAGGCTTGTTCATTTTTGGTGAGGATTGGTCCTTACAAAACAAAAGTTTATTGTCTTAAATATGGATAATGTCTGTGATTGTTAGCTGTACTTAAGTTTTGAACTACCCATGAAAGTGGGAGGGAGTAAGTAGATTGAATGTATGTACTGTTTTCTAGAATATTCTAAAACACATAGAATAATGTAGCATACTGTGTAGTTGAATGTAGGTCATAACACAGCAGTTTTGAACTTTTTGTGCTTATGTTTTGTGATGGTCTCTGAGCCATGTAAACAACTTCAACCAAATAAAAAGATTTTCTCTGTTTCCCCTTCCTCTCTTCCTTACCTTTTCATTAAACCTGTAGAGAATGAATTTGATCTCTTCCAAATGTATGCAAAGTTCTCTTAATTCTTTCTTCTATTTCTAAGTGATTTTTTTTTAACTTCACTCTTTTGGGGATAATGTAAACACTGAACATGGGAAAATCATAGAATTGAGGTCGGAAGTTTATCTACTTTCTGACTCAAGGCAGGACTAAGTCTGAAAAGATTGCTATCATTCATCATCTTAAGAGGTTTGGAGAAAGTCTCTTGGCAACTAGATTGAAGGTTTACAACAATGTTTTTTGCTTTGTTTTGTTTTTTGTCTAACAGGATCATTACTAAAAATACAGTGTCTAGAGTCTACTTTGTAACCTCTTTGTCTCCCTATAGAATTTGTTCTTTAGCAGTAGGGAATCAAATGGCATGGTCTTTTTCTCCATACCAAAAAATTTTTAAATGTGATGGTTAGCTCACTTTCAAAAGGAAAAAATTACCCAGGATAATTAAAATAATCTTATAGCTTTTAAATAAATATACCTTCAAAAAACATTTCTAACATGAATTTTATAACAACTAAGTACGTTCTCTGATCAAGGTGTAGTAATTGCAAAATACTAAAAATATTCACTCCCTCCTCCATTTGTGTCTGTATAAGAACAACTTGGAATTTAGGGAATGTCTCCCTCACCCCCAACATTAAAAAAAAATGTCTCATGTAGGAGACTGAAATATTTTGAGCAGACTATGATGTTAGATACTACAGAGCTTTCAGTTACTCAGTTCTAACAGATTTGTTTCTTGGCAATGTGCAAATATACTCAGAGTTGGCTAGTGTCATTTGGTGGGATCATTAATATATTATAATGAAGCTTCACTGTGGCATCACTTGGCCAGTTGCCCATTTATAATTTTCTGTGTGTATCTGGTTGCCCTATCATGTTGTAATTCTTTTTTAAACCTGGTTTTACAAAATGACTGTAGCTACGTAGCATTTGCCTTGGTTACACTATCAAAATTTTTGCTGAGCATCCATTAAAGTTTATGTCTGCAGGAGGTAAGGGTTCTGCTTGGGAGCATTGAAATACCTCTCATCTAAAAGTCTTAGCTCTGGCACCTCTTCAAAACCTTTTTGGAGGTGACTGTGTCATTAGTTGATACAATTAACCTCTTTTTTGTTTTTTGTTTTTTCATGCTGTTGCATCCCTATTCCTCATTAAACAGGTGGCTGTTGGAGATGTCGTGAAGGTCACCAATGGGCAATATTTTCCAGCAGACTTGATTCTTATTTCTTCCAGGTCAGTGTGAAATGACATTTTTATGCTGAATTAAAATTTCAGGAGATCTTGAAAGTTAAACTTAAATCTGTAATGTCACCTACTACTTTTCTCTGTCCTCATTTTGTGACTCTTCTTTCACCTCCCTTCTACCTGGGTCTCATAGGTCTACCACCTTTTTTGTTTTTTCCTTGTCTTTGCTTTTGGTTCATCTTTCTCGGGCCATGTTATTTCCTTAATTTGCATAGTATACTTTAACTGTGTTTAAAAGTATTTTGGATAGAATACAGATGAGTATTCTTGTTTTATAGATGAAGAAACTGAGATGTGGAGAAAGGCAAAGTTGACTTACTTAAAGTTATACAGCAAGTTAGTGACAAAGCCAGAACCTTCAGGATGTGGCTTTCTTCTGGTTCTACTTGTGAAAGAATGGAGCTAACTTCATTGCATTTTGGGGGGATTTTGATTTCACTCTGTTCCAGACAGAAGGATCTCTCCCTATGTGCCCAGATAATCTGAGGTGCTGAAAATTCTGGATGAATGCTACCCTATATCTCTCTGCAGGCCCAAGCCTTTGCCATCATGAGAACAGCTCTGGCTCTTCACCCCTTTGTTCCTCTGTAACTTCTGCTCAACCTTGACTTAAGCAAGGGTTCATCTATCTACACATGATAGGATTTAAATCTTTCTTTAGGAAAAAAAATCACAAAAGTATCCCTCAGAGTGCTGAAAACTTTACTCACCAATAGAACTAGGACCCAACCCCTTGGATCCGGTGAGTAGAATCATCTGGTTAAATGCCCTAATCCAAGTTAGTTTCATCCTGAGTCCTGTCTGGGATTTAGACTTGGCTACATAGAGATAGGATTCCATCATTAACCAAGAGAAATGCACCATATACTTTTTACCCTCCCAAAGAGTCCCAGGGTATGCCTTTGATCATCTTGATGGGGAAGAGTCAATGACAACTGTTCATCCCCCATATGAGTCAGTATACAATAAGTATTTATTGAATTATATTGACCCAACTTAGGATTTACATGGATTTATAGAAGGGCCAGGAGAAATGTGTTCCCCAGTTTCCTGGAATGGGGATGACTCTGGGATGGCTTCAAGACTAATATCTTCCCCGACCAACTGCAGCAGCAGTGTGAAGGGGTGGGGGCATCTCCTACCAGTGATAATTTTGAAGAAGTAGTTATTTCCTAGTTTGGGGAAAATACCCGAGGGGATATCTAGGGCACATGGCCTAGGAATTACTCTAGGGATAGCCTGATGGTTAAGAGAGCTATTTTTGTATTGTGATAACAAAATTCATGTAAGAATGATTATATAAAAATAATAATATATACCACCTATATTCCCTTTTAGGTTGAAAATGTTTTATCCTGTTCAACTTTGAGACATAGTAAAGAAAGACTGAGAGCCATTATTCTATTGGAAAGGATGTCAAAGACCTTAAGAAATGTGGTCCTAGGTAGATCACTTTAGTCTCTCTGAATCTCAGTTTCCTGATCTCTAAAATAACAACAAAATTGACCTTATGTACCTCACAAATGGTTTTTCGGACAAAATTAGGAAATACATATAAAAACACTCTGAAAGTAAAATTAGCACTAATAAATAGCACAGTGATGGTAATATGGGCTTGTCCAGGACCATGCAGAATGGTTACTGTTGAGTGACAAGTTGTAGAATATTTTCTTGTTATCTGAACATGGAAATCTCTTAAACAGTAGGCACCTGCAAGCACCTTTTTGTGGCTCTCTTTGAAGTCATTGTGAGCCAATGCCTGCATCCTGTAGGGTGACTTCTCAAGTGCCTTTATCAGAGTAAAAGACTGAGGTTTGTAACTGAGGAAATGAGTTATATAATTTCTTTTTACAGGAGAGGAAATCTCAATGTTGTAAAATGGCCTTTAACAAATAAAAAAAGAGGAGGAACTTAGGAAGACCTTTTTTTTTTAAAGTAAACTTGACTAGTTGTGAAGGATGAAAAGAACAGTGTTTGTATTCTCTTGAGAGGCATTTTGAAGCATCAAGAATAACGTTAAAAAAAAACTGGGGGATGATAAGATTCTGTTACTGAGTGCTAGAGAGTTTGTGATTTTTGTCTGTTCTTTCTTTCTAGATTGTGAATCATGGCTACTTAGTTTCTTTGGAGTTATTTTAGCTTATTTTTTATGATTAAGTCCTTCTCCCCTCTCTCCCAACATTAATTCTTTCCTGGAGACAGGTTATTCAAAAAGGAGTCTACAGCATCAAGTGTTGGTCTCCCATTGTCTTGTTGAAGAGAAGATCCCTGCAGTAGCATAGAACAGCATCTGCAGCTGCCCCTAGTGATGTAGACCATAAGTCTACTAAAGACTACTACTACTACTACTAAAAATTTATTCTTTCTTGTATATGGGTTACTCATGTGTTTGTATGCTGTAGTATCTTATCTTTGGGCTTAGGAATCAAGGAGAAAATTTTAAGGTCTTATAGATTGAAATGGGGAAAGAAGTATCATATTACAAAAATTTTAATAATGTTAAGTGTGATGATGGCCTGACCGATTTTGAGTAGCTTTTTGCTGTGTGCTTGCAAGCTGTAAAGTGGAAAATAGCTGCTCTGAGAGATGAATTGTTTTGAGTTTCTTAAAATTAAATATATATACACATATGTATGTATTTGTATATATGTATATAATATATATATATATTATATATACATTATACATACATATATATATATATATATATATATATATATATATATATAGAGAGAGAGAGAGAGAGAGAGAGAGAGAGAGAGAGAGAGAGAGAGAGAGAGAGAGGACTGCAAATTAAAATAGTTTAGCAGGGAATATTTTAGAATATGAAGATAACTCTTGAAGATATTTAATGTGAAAAAAATTTACACATGAATACTTCCATATAGGTATATTAGTAGTTACAATCTTGGAAGAGTACATAGATTATATGGAGAGATTTATTTAATATTGATTTTATTTGCTTTTTTAGTGAACCTCAGGCAATGTGCTATATTGAAACATCTAATCTGGATGGGGAGACCAATCTTAAAATTCGGCAGGTAAAGTCACCTTTTTAGTTTTAGTATTCTCTTTGAGTCCACATGTTCAGATCCCATCTGCAGGTGAACCACTTACCTTTGAAAAGTGAGAAACCATTCCAGACTGTATGCTGACCCTACTCAGACATTTTGAAAAAATATATGCTTTAGGTAGCCTTGGGAATTGGGTGAGAGTGTGGTTGGGTTAAGACATTCATCACAGCTGTTAAAGGGAAAACAAAAAAACACCTCATTAGTAATTGTCCTGTTAAGTGTAAGTTAGCAATTCTCTCTCTGTGTTTTTTTTTAAACTACGGATAGCACATATACCCAGATACCTTTCTGAGTGCTCTTCTTGGGTCCTTGTCTGGGAACTTGTCTGGAAGCTGTGGCAATATGGAAGATCAGTGAGCAGATCCACAGGATGGAGATAATGGGCTCCAAGAAGCCTCATCTCCTCTATTGTTTCTGTGGTCCTAAAGAGAGGATTGGGGTTATAAAATAGAAGAGGATTTTCTGTGACTTTTTTTCAGAGGTATTCCTAGATATACTCTCTTAACTGTACAAAGAATAGGAAAGAGGATAGTAGAAGAGATTATAAATTTCTGTAATTTTCATTTAAAAAATGAAATATACAAAGTTAAAAAAAGATAGTAGCAAAATTTACCCATTCTGTAGCAGAAATATGTGTGTATATTTGTATACGTAAAAAGGTGCTAAAATATGCTTATGCTTTTGCTTGTTGATATTTTCAATGTGAATTGTAGATGTTCTGCTTTGCTAGATTCATTGACTCTTGAGTTGTCTTTTTGGTTCTGACTTCCAGGGTTTGACTCAGACAGCTAATCTGACTTCAAGGGAGCAATTGATAAAAGTATCTGGGAGAATAGAATGTGAAGGTCCCAACCGACACCTTTATGACTTCACTGGAAACTTGTGTTTAGACGGTAACAGGTATTGCTTTTCTTCCTGTAGAGTTTTTCCCTTGATGCATGATGGTAATCCTTGATCTTCAGAGCAGGTGGTAAAAAATTGTTTTGGTTAGTGTAGCTGTTACAGATGGCTTTTGTCTCCAAGCCTCATAATCAAAAACAACTATAAAATTTAAAAATTTATTCAGTATAATATGTGAGAAAATGTTAATATAGCATGATTCTAAAGAGGACAGAATTACTACCACTTTTAGCACATGTATTTTGAGGGAATTCTTCTTGACAGGGAAAATGCTAATTTTTTAGGTGTAAAATGGTGGCTTGCCTTTGAAAAAAATAACTTGTTCTCTTCTTTCCCAAAATAGTAGGGTCAGAAAAAACAAGGCCAAATCTTTGTCATTTTGTTTAGTCAGTCAACAAGCATTTATTAAGTGCTTACTATATTTCAGGCACAGTGCTAAGCATTGGTTATACAAAAAAAAAAAAGGCCAAAAACACAGTCTGTCCTCAAGGAGCTTACATTCAAATGGGGGGGACGTGAAATATTGGAAATAGAAGATATGTACAATATCAATGGAAGGTAATCTTAGAAGGTGGGAACAGTGGGAGGCATCCTGGGAAAAGTGATATTTGAGCTGAGTCTTGAAGAAAGTCAGGGCAACCAGGAACTGGAGATGAAGAAGGAAAGCATTCTAGATGTGGGGGAAAGCTAGTGAAAAGCAAGGCACCAGAAGAGGGAGAGAACTATATGAGGAAGCAATAGGGAGACCAGTGGTGATGGATTGTAGAGTGTGTGGAGGGTAGTGAAGTGTAAGAAGTGTAGAAAGGTAGGAAGAGGCCAGGTTGGGAAAGCTTTTAAAAGCCAAACAGAGGATTTTATATTTGATCATCTATCTTATAGGAGTCATTGGAGTTTATTGAGTAGAGGGAGTGAGGGAAGTGACATAATCAAACCTTTGCTTTAGCAAAAAACACTTTAAAAGCTGAATGGGGGTTGGCCTGTAGCAGGGAGAGACTTGGGAACAGATCAGAAGGCTTCTGTAATAGCAGGTGTAAGGTGATGAGGGTGTACACCAAGATGGTGGCTGCATTGAATAGATAGAAGGGCATATATACAAAATTCACATGAGAATGATTATTTAAAAAATAACAATAGAGATGTTAAGAAGGTATAAAGGATGAAACTTGGCAGATTGGACATGTGGGGTGAGTACAAGTGAAAAGACAAGGTAACAGTGAGGATGTCAGCCTAGGTGATGGGGAAGATGGTGGTACCCTTGACAGTAATAGCGAAGTTTGGGAGAGAGGAGGTTGAAGGGTGGATAATGGGTTCTGTTGACCGACTGAGAAAATTTTAATGTATCTTGAGTCTAGTTAATACATAAATAGGCTATATACATGGTTACACATTATTTTCCATGTAGTAAGTGCCAACTGTTAAATGAACAGGACAAATAAATCTTTGAAAATTAAGTAAAATGTTGGCTTTAATACCAAAGAAGGAGTAATGCAACTGTTACTGTGGATATTTTGTATAGTGAGAGAAACTAATTAGGAACTACTAATCATAGGAAGCTTAGTAGAGAAAAGAGCTGGGACAGAGAAATGGTTACTATACAAGAATTTCTTGGTATTCTTAGAAAATTATTGTTTTGAAGGTGTATGGGAACAAATGAGATGGTTAGTGAAGTGGCTAGTTGGTATTGACAGAATTTCTTTTTCAAAGCAGTGATTTGTTTATTGACAGTAACATTTTAGATTAAGGAATGGGAAACATTTTTTCCCTTTTAGTACCCTTTGTCTGCATTATGTTTTCATTGTTGTATTTTGGTGGCATTTCTATCATTTGTTTCAGGATGGTGTTTGGTGTCTGGTGCTCCTGTCTTTTCTCCTCTGCCTTTCCTGTTCATGTATTTGCTGCTTATGTCTTCTATGGGACCACCTTTTAGATTGTTCAGCTGAGCCAGTGCTGTAAAGAAGGCAGTTAGGAGAAGCAACATTAACTTGAGTTGCTGAAAATGTCTTCTCTTGGGTGCCCTGACTTGCTGTAGACTATAGCCCTTTTAAATAGATAAATTAGGAATGGGGTTGTTATGTGGCTCCTATGTCACTCTTGCAATGTTATTGTGCATTTTCTGAAATGGAATGGAAAGTGATTCCCAAATGAACAAAAAAGACCTTGACTTAGCAATGACACTTGCGGTATGGATTCCAGTACAGCCTCTACTAAGAAGCATCCTTCTTTCCCAATGTCATAGTTTCATAAGAATTTACCATCGCTGTAGTGAAAATTGATGATTAAAAAAATTAACTTTATTTTTATACTTTCTTAACAATAAGCAATCTTGGAAAAAAGCCATCCTAAAGTGAACTTTTGTTTTTTCTGTGGAATGGTTAAACTACACTGAAAAAAATATCGATGTTGTGTATTTGCTCAAGGAGACAGTTTATGCCATCATATTGTGAAAACAGTGAAAAACACCTTTGCCAATATATTATTAAATATAAATTTTATTTTTTTCTTATTTTTAGTTCAGTTTCAATTGGGCCTGACCAGATCTTACTAAGAGGTGCTCAGCTTAGGAATACTCAGTGGGTCTTTGGCATAGTTGTATACACTGGACACGACACCAAGCTCATGCAGGTAAAGCCTTTCTGCACCAACATGATTCTATTCTTCGTCATTGTTTCCTTTTTCTCTGTGTCTGTCCAGGAGGGGGAGAGGCAAGTATAGAATCTAGATGATGCCTGAGATTCAATTCTGTTTAGTTACCTTAGGTTAACCTTTCCATCCTTCTTTTGTGGGTAGGTAAAATTCTTTCTCTTTGGTCTTTTTCTGTTAAAAAAAAAAGGATCTCACATGAAATATAATTGCCCTCCATGTTCTGAGCTTTGGGACAGGGAGAATGACTGGTACCAACTCCCTTTTTGCTTCTTCCCACCCTTGTCCATTTGTTTGAGTTGTAGAACAAATTCACATTTTGAAGGACCAATTATTACTTAGTGAGCTGTTTTCTTTGCATATGTCAAAAAGAAAATATCAGGAACTTTCCCTCAACAGCCTCTTTAGTCTGTCTAAATTAAATTGGCCTTAGTTTTTTTAGTGTGTCTAGACATTTCTGGTTCACCTTTGCCAGGGGACTTTCCAAATTCTGGTTGAATCAGTGCCTTGTGCTGTTCTTCAGAGCTGCTCCCTTTTGAGAGTACTTGAAGGCCCTTTTGCCTTGAAGAGAGACTCTTCCTGTTAGAGGGAATAACTTTGAAGATATTTCTGTCCTTTTCTCTGGCACAATATTTTTATTACACTTGAGGAATTATAGCAATTTTAAAATGTACATTTTGCTCAGTAGTCTTGATCTTATGGAATTGAGGTATGATGTACCAGCCGTTTCCTACCTCATCAAAAATATTTCCATCGACAGGATCAGAATAGGTTGTTTATGCATAAAGGATGGTAGATTGAGAGCTAGAAGACACTTCGATTGCCACCTTGAGCAATCCTCACATTGTATAGATGTGGAAACTGAGGCCCAGAGAGGTCTAGTGGATTGTCTAAGGTCACACAGGTAGTACTAAACGGATTTGAATCTAGGCCCTTTGACTTCATTCGCATCAAACACTCCTTTCACAATGCCACACACTTCCTTAGATCTTGAGGGATCACTTTGTGTTTTCCAGAAGACCATGGATATTTTGGCTTAATCTTTCTTGAGTGCTCTTTGTAACTTCTGTTAAATGTTAATCCAGGAACACTCAGCCAGTTAGAATGGAGGGGGGTGATAAGCCATAATCTTATTCTCATTTTGCCTTCTCTATTTTGTTTTTGTTTCCCCATATTAGGCACTTAATAAATGCTTGTTGATTGATGACTGATTGAATGAACTTTGGGTAGGACAGCCAGGTTTAAAGTTCCACATTTAAGTGATTATGACCTGATCATTCTTCTGAATTGAAGCTGACCTACTGTCAAATTAAGTAGCAACAGCTTATATTTATGGAGTTGCCTAAACATTTTCATCTCGGTGTTTTTATAGTATATTGTACAACAATGTAGCTATCACTTAAAGGATCCTACTCCTCCCTGCAGCACCTCCAACACACCTTAATCTTTTTAAGGTCTCCTCACCTTTTATGTGTGCATCCCATCAACATCTTATGGGATCTGGCCACCACTGTTTTCTTTGGATTTCCTGGGTTGTCTGCCAATGTAGGCTTGTGAAGAAGGCTGTAGGTTTTCTTTGCTTTCCTTTTTCTTCCCTCTGTTCCACACTAAGAGGCCACCAACCTCTTAGATGTTTTGAAAGATTTACTACAATGGTATTGTGAGTCAACATGTACCTACTCCTCCCCCACACCCATGAGTTTTATTTCTATGAGTTACAAGCGTTATTAAGGTAAAATCTTAGTCCATGATTCCAGTTAAAAGACATTCAACCTGATCTTAGTTCCTTCTTGTTTAATTTTTGTACCTGGTCTTTGCCTTGATATTAATTGAGTCAGTCGATCAAAAAGTATTTAGTCAGTGCTTACTAGTGTCATATACTGTGCTTTTTACTGGAGAAATAAATGTAATAAATGAAAAAAACCCTGATCACAAGGAACATAGATTCTAATGGGGAGACGAGAGCACTTAAGTATATGTAACATAAATATAAAGGTAATAAAATAAATACAAAGTAGATACATACAAGGTAGTTTGGGAGGGGAGTGCAAGTAGCAGTTGGGAGAATCAGGAAAGGCTTCATATGGCAGGTGGTAACTGAGCTGCTTCTGGAAGTGAGGAAGGAGGGAGCACATTCCTGGCATTGGAGGAGGGCAACCCATAGTAGAAAAGCATGGAGTTTTCTTTCTATGATTTGGCTACCCATGGTGCTACATGTCTGTCCTCAACTATGCACCTGGTTGTCTAGAGTTTAGACAGGTCCTTTCTTACTAAATGTTGCATTTGCATCTATCTTTTGACTCTCCCTTTCCCTCAGCCACACTGTCCAGCTTAGTCATCTCCTAGATTCCTCACTGACACCTACCTGCTTGCCATGTTTTGGGAAAGTCTCTTTCCATTAATTCCTAGGGAGAGGTTTTCCCCCTCCCTGAACCCTTAAAGATATCTGTCCTTGGGTTCTTCCCCCATTCTCTGTGTTCTGGTCCTCAGAAAATTGCTCATTCTCATTTTGTTGTATCATGGTTAGTCAACCTGAAGCACCATTCTCTGATCTCATCTTTCCTGGCTGGGTTAGACAGTGATGTTTAAATAGTGTTTTCCACTTATATGACACGAGAACTTTGGATTCTGTGACCCAGACGCACAGGCCTCTTTGAGCCTGAGGCCCAATGCTAATTTACCCCCTTAACTTTCTGACTCCCAAGCCAAAATTGATCTCTAGTTTTAAACAGGTACCTTCTTGTAGTGATGCTCTAGTTGAGTAGTGTCAAACTCAAATAGAAATGGAAGCTATACATAAGGATTCCTGTGGGTCACATATTTACTTAGAAAACCATTTATTAATATCATCTGTGTTTTATTATATTATTATTTATTTTGTAAAATCTTTCCTAATTATATTTTAATCTGGTTCAGGCCACACTGGAGAGTGTTGTGGGCGGGATGCATCCCAAGGGCTACATACTTGACATCTCTACTCTAGTTCATCCTTTGTTGGTCAATGTGAAATTATAGGTACAGCCTAGGACCAATGTTTATTGGCCACCTTTGATTGCCCTTAGGTAGGATAACCAATCATCCGGTTACCTCAGATTGTGGCTCACTAGTTCAGATCTGGGCCCCTCCCCTCATGGAGTAAATTATAAAGAATTTGTATCAGCCATTGAAAACTCCATGAGCCAGAGCAATATTTGGTATCTTCTCCATACTCCTCTACCTCCAATAATTGGGCAGGGTTTGATGACGATAAAAAACAAAACAAAACAAAACAAACAAAACAAAAAGCTACTGACTCAGCAATATGTAGGTAATTCTGTAGCTAACAGTTTATACTTCTATAGCAACATATGGCGGAAAAAACTAGCTTAAATGTTTCTCATTTAATCTAATCTACTTATCTGCTCCATTGTGCATAGTTCAGTAACAACAGATGTACACTTTATTATCACATATTGTTTTGGGGGTCTATTTGTATAGCTTTTTGCGAGGCCATTGCAGTTTTCATGGTTTTGAACTATAATAGTAGAAAATCCCCAAAACATCTGTACACAGAATTCCCTGTGTCTTAAGGGCAAAAAAGACAAAAAATAGAGTTCTTTAAAGAAAGATAAAGGATCATGTGTAGCTAAAGACCATCCTGTTTATGAAATAATATTTATAATAAGTATATGTGCTACTTGACCACAGAGAGGAAATATGATTGCTGTGGGGTGTTTTTTTATATTCCTTTTGCCTTTATATTGCTGGCTCATAGCCCTCCTAGAACTTCTCTTGTGGCATGTTAAACCTAGACTTTCCTATAGACTGAACTTTCTTTTAATTGAGTTAATAGACTGAGTTAATGAGATTATATTTTCTTAAAGCAATCCCCTAAATTCTTTATGATGTCTCATGAACCTTCATTCTTATAACTATACAGATTCTGTAAATTTCATCCAAGTATATTTCATCCAAGGGTATAGAATACTTAACCTCCTTTCTTTGGAAGAAATGTCCCTAAAATTAGAACTCAATTACACAGAAAGTATAGGGTTTTTTCTTTATATAAAGAGCTTTATAGCAGTTTCTATAACGCTGATGGGAATTTCACATTAAAAGCTTGTTCCTTGATATTGCTGATATACCCTAGAGTTTTTGTTTCCATGAAATGCAGATGTTATTAAAGTCAGAGGTTTTTTTGGGGGTAATTATTACAGTATTCTTAGGTGGATTTTTTCCAGCAGCCCAGGTGAAAGATAGCTTTGCATAACCTTGTTAACTGGAAAGAGTCCAACCACTGGAAAAGATCAAAAGTCAATAAATTAATGGGATCATGGAAATGAGCTCATTGCCAAAGTATATTTATTTTCCCTGCCTGTCCATTCGCTGAGTGTTTATTAAAATTTTGATAAGGCAGTCATGGACTGTCAAATTTACAGCATTTATTTAAAAAAAATGGAGCCCTTGTGTGAGGGATACTGCTGTGAGACCAGATGTGGATGTGCAGTACTAGAGTAGGGTCGAGGCGGGGGTAGGGGGTGGATTAATCACAGATCTGCTCCTAATGAATTTCCTTTTCTTGTCTCTGGGGCCCCCCTTTTTTACCCTAAATATAAGGCAAATGCCAGGGTTTGAGAGGCTACGCTTTTAGAGAAGTGAAATGTGAAAAGAGTCTCTAAACAAAGGGAAAAGTGGCTATAGTATACATTCATTGCATGGATTTTAATTCCAGAGGGAATTGTCATCCTGGTACTTGAAAAAGCCAAATACAGCATAAAGAGCAGTATTTATGGTTCCACCAGCTGAGCTCAGATACACATCTTGTGGCTGTAGGGTGTAAACAGATCTCATGCTATTTGCAAATGAATTCCCCTTCATTCTCATCCTAGCTGGTTTTCATTTTTGATGACTTTATCTTTTTTATTTTTTTAAGGCTCTTAGATTTATCACTTCCAAAGGAACAATTAAGGCAGATAAGAGTATAGTAACAAAGGAAAGAGCTGATATTCACCCACCCAATTCAAACCATCTTTGTAAGAATTTGAAGCCCTAGAATACTTTTGACCTTGCCTTACAAAAATTATGTGCTTGCACACACACCCAAATACACATATGTGTATGTGTGTGTGTGTGTGTGTGTGTGTGTGTGTGTGTGTGTGTGTGTGTGTGTAACTTGTAACTGGCACTCAGAGCTCCTCTAATCTATCCTCAATCTATCTTCAATCTATTTGAAAATCTACTTCTAACAAAAATCAGTCAGTAAAAGGTTGTTTTTTTTTAAACAAGTTTGGTGTCTTTGTTTGCAAACCTACCCATGCTTTTTATAATTTCTAATCCTTTCCTCATACTGTTGTTTTTGTCTCTTGCTGCTGCTTTATTAGATTTTATACTTAGCATTCTTAACTGAGCCCAAGCACCCCCTCTTGCATAAGAGCTTCTTCCTCCCTGCCCATATTGTACTCTTGAGTACCTGTTGTCTCATTCATTTCATCATGTAATCACATACAGCCTCACATCTGTTGACTTGTGTTGTGTTTGTCTTTCCTTCTACTTAGATTAGTATTGGGGATGGGGAGGCCTTCAGGGAGGGAGGAAGCAGGGATCATGGTTATTGTCCCCTTTAGACTCAGGAGAGGACTGTACATATAGGCACTTGAAGCACTTGTTGTAGGGGGAAAAATGAAGCTTCTAATATTCCTTTGTACATAGTCAGCCCAAGGTATCTTTTAGATTCAATCTAACATCTTTCAGGAACTGTTATTGTGTTTCCAAGATGACTCTTTTTGTATCACCAAATTTAACACTGAAAAGTAGGGTTGGAATTTGATGGGAGAGGACATATGCCCTAGCCAAAAGGTGATTGGAGAGTGACCTTCAGGTCTGAGATGGTGGTAGGAAAGACATTAGGTTGAGGATCAGTGGAACAGATTACTGAGCCAAAAAATGTGATAACACCCAGTTCAATTCAGTAAACATTTATTAAGCACCTTCTGGAAACTGTGCTAAGTGTTGGAGATACAAAAAGAGGCAAAAGATATCCCTGCCCTCAAGGAGCTTACAATCTAATGATAGCTCTCTATTCAGGAATTACTCCCCTCTCCCCCAATACCTGTATGCTATGTGAACATTGACTTTTTGTGCTATTATCCAGAATTCAACTAAAGCACCTCTCAAGAGATCCAATGTTGAGAAAGTGACCAATGTGCAAATTCTGGTTTTGTTCTGCATTCTACTGGTCATGGCCCTAGTGAGTTCTGTGGGCGCATTGCTATGGAACCGAACCCATGAAAACATAAGCTGGTACATTAGTGAAATAGGTAAGTTTCAGTGAATGGGGCATAGAAGCACAATTTCTCTAAGCTCATAACCATTTTCAGTGGGTTGAAGACTTTATTTTTGTTATTAATTTTCTTCCATTAAATAAGGGAAGTGTCTCTAGCCAGTAAATGTTGGAAAATGGGAGTTTAGCACTTTTAGAAACAAGATACATAAGTTTTGAAAGTTTTCCTGGGAACATGTGTTCCTGTTGGCATTCTCCCTTTGGCAGTGACATAGGCTACTTACATTCCAGGGGAAAGATGAAAGAATAAGATCAAAAGGTGACGAAGATGAGGTTGTTCAATACTCAGGTTAATGTCCTGTCAATAAAAAAAATCAAGATAAACTCTTGAATTAAAAATTGGTTTTCTTTTGTACAGTCCTTCCGTTGTTTGCAGGGTAAACTGTTAAAATGTTCTTTACATTAGTCTCTATCCTTTCATCTGAAGAACTCAGACTATTCAAACAGCCCTCAAGGGCACACTTGTTACATTGCCATTTCCAAGGAGAGGGCCCGTTTCAGAAGGACATTGGTTGCAACTGGAATCAGAATCTAGGATTTCAGATTCTGTCATAGTCTATTTTCTTAAACGCCATTGTTTAGTCTAGTCTTGATTTCAGGTTGTCAATCGTTATATTTAAAATCACAAAACCATGCTGTAAAACAAAACCAAAAATAAAATGGTATTCTTTGTATAATTTAATGTGACTGAAAAGAAGAGACCATTCTAGTTTGAAACAGGAATAAATGTATAGAGAACCCACTCTGTAGATTCTTTTGGTGGTTCTGTTTATACATATGTACTTAGCTGTAAAATGTGTTGGGTTCTGGGTAATGTATAACATTGACACTATCTTGGGATACAAGCCTTGGGAAAATAAATAAATGGCAATGAAATTGTTTGGATAATCTCTTTCTAGTAGCTACATGATTTACTGTGGAAGAACTGTCCTCTGCTGTTCCACTTAATGCACTCTGTCTTATTAACAGAGATGTTATCTTTATGGTGAGGGCTGCAATTGCTCTGATACAAAACAGTAAAGCTCCAAATTCCCATTTTTCACCGACTTGCCTTTAACTTTAGTTCTTGGTACTTTGTCCTTCCAAATTACTATCCTTTCTGCTCTGTTAATAAAATTGGGGGGGGGAGAGAATTAAATTAATGGGGGTAGGGAATACAGGAAAGAGTTCATTGTGCCAGAAAATGATAGGCTGGAGAAGGAGGTCTGTGCTACTGTTTGTTCCTCCCTACTCTCTTTACCCTTTCCAACACAAGTTTGGGTTTCCTACCCTAAATTCTTCTGGGGAGCCAGGTGGCACATGGTTAGAGTACTGGAACTAGAGTTGGGAAGATAAGAGTTCAAACCCAGCCTTAGGAAAAGTCGCTTATCCTTTGCCTTAGTTTTCTCAACTATAAAATGTGGAAAATAATAGCACCTGCCTCCCAGGGTTCTTGTGAGGCAAAAATGAGGTATCTTTAAAATGTTTCTCAAATCTTAAAGCTCATTATTGTGGTTGTTATCATTATTACATTCCTCATGGAAAGACCGGCTAGTTAAGTTTTTTGAGGCCCATCATCAAGTTGGCTCTAAAATATGAGTTTTTCAATCATGCAACTTAGAGAGACAGCCCACTAAAGTGCGCAGGGTTACATTAATACAAATTCTTTTTCTACCCTTTAGGCTAGTTGTTTGACTTGCTTAACCTCTTGGTTGTTGGTTTTCACAAACAAAACTGCCTTGAAATGGCATTATTGAATCAATTATCTCCATTTCTACTAGCCTCACAGAACCAAGAATCCTGATCTGAATTTACGAAATAGATCATATGCAGTACTGCCTGGCATAGTTGGAAGGGCTGCTGGTGTTTGGAGTCAGAAAAAAGAATGTGAGCCTTGGTAGTGTCTTTCACCAGCTGTATGATGTTCTCCAAGCCTCTGTTTTCCCCCTTGTAAATTGGGGACAATAATAACTGACCTGCTTAGGTCACAGGATTGTTCCAAGGCAGGATCTTGTGAAAACAATGAACTCTTCTCAGAAAAATGTTTTTAAATGCATAAAATAAAATACATAGGATTATAAAGAAAATTGATTATATTGAAATATAATTATCAAATTAAAAAATATTTCATAGATCCCATATTAAGAACCACTGTTTTAAGGAGATAATGTAGATTAAAGTGCTATAAAGCATGAGCTATAAATGCAAAGTGCTCTTTCATATTTAATAGTATCACAGTGTCTAGAATGAAGAGGTATCAGTTCTTTTATGTAGTCTGTTTGGAATATTGTGTTAAGCCTGAGAGGTGCAGTTTAGGAAAGGCATTGACAAGCTAGAGTAGATTGACAGAACCAGTGACCACGATGTTGAAGGAACTCAAAACCATTTCTTTATGGGAGTTGAATAATGAAAATAGGTGTTTAGTCTGAACAAAAGAAAATTTAGCAGAGATACTATATTGATCTTGAAGCAATTGAAGGGTTGTTATTTAGAAGAGGGATTACACTTATGCTGTTTAGCAACAAGAGGGCTGAACAAGGACCAGTGGGTGGAAGTCATGGAGGGATTTCAGCATGATACAAGGAAAAAACTTCCCAACAATTAGAGATTACTCAAAGAGGAATGATTTTCCTTGTAGCCTGTCCATGGAGGTCTTCAGGTAGAGGCTAGTGATTGTTTTTCAGTGATGCCATAGAAGGGATGCCTGCTCATATTTGGCTTCAACTTGATGACCTCTGAGGTCCCTTCCAGTTCTTGAGAATCTGTGATTGGTCTATATATCAAAATCCATGTAGAGAGGCAGAATTGAATAGTGGATAGAGAACTCATTTTGGAATCAGGATGACTTGGAGGGTCATATTAGTTGTTTTCTTAACTCAATCCTCTTATACAAAGCCATGTATACCTGATCACTGGAATCCTGCTTCAGTGTTTTGAAATATATATTTTAGTGGGAGTGGATTGCATTCTTGTTATTTCAGAATGTCTTCGTCAATAAGATCCTACTTCATACAAAGTATATTTTAGATCTTTCAGTCTAGCTTTCAAATTTTAAACTTACTAAGCAATTGGATAGACTTAATTTTGCATTTTGGATATCACTCTCAACATAAATATTTATTCATCATTATGCCAAATGCAGCATGATATAGTGGGCAGAGTACCAGTCTTGGAGTGAGAACGACCTGGGTTTAAAACCTGCCTCTGATGTTTACTAGTTGTATGACCAAGGATGGGTTGCTGTGTGTCATATAACTCTATAAAATTATAAATTATAAATGGTTTGTGACTTGCCATTTCCCATGCTGACAAAATCATGCTTCCTTATTGTATTGGTGTGTGTTCCCTAATTGTACATGATATGAGGGAAATGCAAGACCAAATCTTTACTCTTAATGTTAATGTCTTTATACTTTTGCATATCATTTTAAATCAGAACTTGTGTGTTATAATTTTTTCCTCCTCGAAAAAAAAAATCCACAAATGATGCATTAAGGTAATGTGAAAATAGAAGAAACTGAACAGAAACTTTAATTCAAACTGTATGGTTTTCTCTTATTGGCTTTCTTTCACAGAGGGAATTTCCAACAATTTTGGATATAATCTGTTGACATTTATCATCTTGTACAACAATCTTATTCCAATTAGTCTTCTGGTCACTCTTGAAGTTGTAAAATTTATTCAGGCCCTTTTTATAAACTGGGTAAGTATTCAAAGCAGAAATGATTAAGATAAATTTTTTCAGCTGCAGAAGCATGATGTGTCAGTCTACCATCCTGTTTTTACTTTCATGTTGAGAATTTTGGAATTAAATGGATCATAAAAAAATGTCTATAGCCACCTTAGCCAATAGTGTTTTGGGTTGTAAGTTCTAAGCAAGGTTGTTTTTCAGTGCTTGTGAAGTGTTTATTTTTTATTAACCTAGTATCATTATGTAGAGAGGTTCCTTTAGCCAAGTGAAGAATGTTAAGTGTATATGTATGGGTTGCAGGTGTCAAAGCATTGGTAAGACACTGAGAAATCAGTATGTATAGAAGAGAACAGAGTGTCCAGTAAGATTGCAGAAGAGATTTAAAGATTTAAAAGGGGAATTAAAAAAAATTAATTGGCATCATTTGTCTTTACATTGCTTAACATTTCTTTCAGCATCCTCCCCAGAGAGCCATCACATAAAACAAAATCATCTTTTTTATTTATAACTCATGAGACCTTTGTCAGTATTAGGGTAGTTGGAGGGAAAAAATTATATGGATGGATGGATGGATAGATAGATAGATAGATAGATAGATAGATAGATAGATAGATAGATAGATAGATAGAGGGCACAGGGTGAGTTGAAGATTAAGGGGTCATATCTGGAGAATAAAATTAAGGGATGAGAGAGGATTATACTCGGAGAAGAAGAAAGGGAGAGGTAGAATGGGGTAAATTATCTCACAAAAAAAAACAGAAAAGAAAAGTCTCTTACAGTGGAGGGGAAATGGGGGAAGGTAAGAGGGAATAGGTGAATCTTATTCTCATAGGATTTGGCTTATGGAGGGAATAACATACACATTCAATTGGGTATGGAAATCTGTCTTACCCTACAGGAAAATAGGGGGAGAAGGGGACAAGAGAGCAGGGGGATGATAGAGAGGAGGGAAGATTGGGAAAGGGGGTAATCAGAAGCAAATACTTCTGAGGAGGGACAGGGTCAAAAGAAAGAATAGAATAAATGGGAGGACAGGATAGGATTAAGGGAAATAGAGTTAGCTTTTCACAACATGTCTACTGTGGAAGTGTTTTGCTTGCCTTTTCAATGAGGGTGGGTGGGGAGGGAGGAAGGGAGAAAATTTGAAACCTAAAGTTTAAAAACATGTGTTTAAAAAAAATGTTTTCACATGCTACTGGGAAATAAGAAATACAGGAAATGGGGTACAGAAGTCTATCCTGCCCTACAGGAAAATAGAAGGGGAAGGGGATAAGAGAAGGAGGGAGAGATAGAGGGGAGGACACACTAGGGGAAGGGATATTCAGAATGCATGCCATCTTGGGGTGGGGGGAGGGGTGAGATGGGCTGAAAATTTGGAACTCAAAATCTTATGGAAGTAAATATTGAAAACTAAAAATAAATTTATATTGAAGAGAAAAAAATAAAATAAAAAACAATCATCTTTTTAAAGAAAAAGGAATAAATGGAAAAAATATTCAGCAAAGCTTATCAATATACTAAAGAATTATAATAACATATGCAGTATTTGAAACCCATAGACCTCCTACATCTGCAAAGGAGTAGGGAGAGGCATCTGAGAAGGGAATCTTAAGGAGCAATGATGGAATCAATTTAGAGCTTGGGGCATGTTTTCTCAGATAATTGCTTTGGTGTTAATTTTATATTCTTTCTCAGCCTGAAAAGGTTGACAGCAACCATCTTTGTACCTTAGTAGAAGTAGAAGTACCTGAGTTTTGCAGCTGAAAAAAAAAAGATTATCTTTTAGCCAACTTTGTAAAAAAAAATCAGCTTTGGTGTTTCTGGAGGTTTGACTGTGATGGAAAATTGAAGGTGGATGAAGTGCTGTATTTGGAGTCAGGAAGACCTAAATTCAAATAAGGCCCCAGACATTTATCCTTCAGGAAATCACTTACATTCTCTCTGCCTCTGTTTTATTAAATATGATGAAATGTAAAATAAGGGTTGGACTTGATCTTTACGGTTCCTTTGAGCTGTAGATACACAATCCCATGAGATGTAATTGAACTGAGAGAAGATCTAATGTATTAGACTTGAGGGTAGTGTTTTTGTTAAGTTATACTTCCTAAACTAAAATTCTTTAGTTCATTTTAGCTGAGTACCTAGTAGAGGACACTGTTAGGACATTGAGACCTTGGTGTCGTGTTGGATCTTCAAGCACAAGTACAATAAGTGGCCATTATTCCCCTTGTATGAGGACTCTCACCTCCTTCCCTGTGGTGGTCTCACCAGTGCTTCAGGCACAGTGTGGATGTAGGCTTCCTAAAGGAATTGTGAGCCCTTCCCTGGTTTGGCACTTCTTGACTTGTTCCCTGTCCTTGCATTTCTTTCAGGACCTGGATATGTATTATATGGAAAATGACACCCCTGCAATGGCCCGGACATCAAACCTTAATGAAGAGCTTGGGCAGGTGAGAACTTTCTTTTATAATTGCAGGAGTGTATGGAATTAAGGAGGAATGTTTGAGGAAGACAAAAGGGAAAACTTAAGCAAAGGGGAAGGTCCAAACTTAGCTTCAGAAAATGATTCCCCTCGATGCCAGCAGGAGCTAGAATGTAACCATCTGAAAAGACGACCACATTAGGAAATGGGCTTTTACTCTGTCTAAATGTCCATGTTAAGACAGAGGTATTGACCCTGATATGGATGAATGTGAGCATGCTGATCAGCACACATGAGAGATTAAAAACCATATCCCATGGGCATGTGGATGAGGATTTCTCATTCACTGCATCTGTTATTGAGATGCAGTGTGGTCTAGTTTAAGGAAACCTGGATTTAGTCATAAGACCTATGTTTGAGTTCTAAACCTCAGTTTCCCCGTCTATAACATGGGGATAGTATAACATTTCTGCTGCTCGCTTCACAGGGATGTTCTGAAGAAAGCTCATTATTAAACCTCAAGCTGCTATATAAATTTGAGTGGTTTTTTTGCTGCTGTTATTATTAATAGTTAACAAGCACAAATTTTTGGCATTAATAATAAACCTTGTTGAATCTACATCAGGAGCATTTTTTATATCTGTCTCCTCATCTCCACTCACACCATATCATCTCTTTTCTACAGTATTGTCTAGACTATTGTCATCTCCTTTAAAAATTTTTTTTCATGGATGGGTCTGACTATATTTCCCCCTCTCCTTATTCCAGAGTGTTCAGTTCTTTTCCCCATTGCTGATAAGATACGATACAACCTCCTTAGCTTGATATTTAAAGCAGTGTAGTTGCTTGCCAGACTCTGTTTCCAGCCATGCTTGATTCAAATCTCCTTCACTGTCTTAATAGTCCAGCCAAATCAGACTTAGCCCACTTTCTTTTGCCCCAGTGTATTTGCTCAGGCTGTCAGGCTGTCACCAGTGCTTGTATTACATTCAGTCTTTGGTCTGTGTTTGGTGAGGGCCCACTTTGTATCACCTTCTCCATGAAATCTTTGATTTCCACTGCCCCAAGCTAAAAGTGATCTCTCCCTTCTTGTACTTCTTGTAGTACTTTATCTTTTTCCTTTCTGACTCTATCCTCCTAGTATCATTCTCTTCTTCCCTCCCCAAGTGCCATCACATATACTAATATATTTTAAAGGGAAAAAAAAGAAGATACAAAAACCATTTAAATTGATTGATAAATGCTGCAGTGTATTCCACCCATAAACCTCCCATAGCTTCAAAAGACTGGGCTGGGGCTGTTTATTCATGTCTCCTTTGGAGCCACACTTATTCTTTGTAATTTTGCAACAATCACTTTTGGTTGCCATGTAGTCCCAGCATCCTAGGGTTGGAATTGGAAGGGGCTTTCAGAAGTCACCCAGTCTAATCCCTTCATCTTAGAGATAAATAAATCGATGGCTGGGGAGGCTGAAGAACTTGCCCAAGGTCACACAGATAGTAGTAAGATCATGGTGGGATTTGAATCTAGTTCTGCTGACTCTGGAGCCAGTCAGAAAACTGCTGTTTTTTTACTTTTCCAATGTATCCCCAAACACCTAGCACAGTGCTTGGCACATTGTAGGCACTTAATAAATGCTGATTGCTCCATTGTAATGAGTGTAAGAGTTCAGAGGGGTGACACTATGGAAGCCCTTCATTGAACAGCACTGGAACAAAGCCTTCTGTTTTTCATCTTTGTAAATGGCACCTCTCCATTTCCCCTCTCTAACCTTAGTATCCTTGCTGCTGAGCATGACTGCATATTTTTATATCCTAAGAGTCATGGGTAAAATCTTCAGATCAAATAGCCTTCTGGTACAATATGAATCTTTCTGTCTATCTCATTGCTATTCCAAAAATATTTCCCATCCAAATTGCTCTTAAAACATATCATACATATTCTCCATTATGCATTAGGCTGCTAGGGAGCACAGGGGATAGAGTGCTGGGCATGGAGTCAGGAAGACCTGAGTTTAAATTCAGCCTTAGACATTTAACTAGTGATGTGACCTTGGGCAAGTGACTTAACCACTGTTGACCTCAGTTTCCTCATCTGTAAAATGGGGATCATAATAGCACCTACCTCCCAGGGTTATAGTGAAAATCAAATGAAATAATATTTGCAAAGCACTTAGCACCGTGTCTGGCATGTAGTAAGTGCTATGTAAGTACTAGTCATTATTATCATTATCATCATTGTTATTATTATTATTATCTCCTATGTTGGGGGAAGATCCCCAGCTCAGTGACTCCTGTAGTACTGCCTTTTTTTCTCACCTGATTTAGTTAGACTGAACACTGGTGAGTAAGCAGCTGTTTTCCTTGTCCTGTGCCCCACACCAGGAAACCTCTATAGGCTTTCTAGGTTTTTAGAACTGAGCATTGGAAGAGGACCTTTGATTGCACTGGCCATGAACCTGTCTGCTTTTGACACATGGCTGAAAAAAGAAAGGAAATTCTTGGTGTTTTTAGAGTATCCATGCCATGTGCAATTACATAGTAGAACATTTTAGAGAGTTGGGGTTGGGATAGGGACTGGGACTAGGTTCTTGAAGGAGGCTGTAGAATCTCTATGTTTCAAAATGTAGAATAACATGTTTCAGTTAAGACATCCAGCAGGAAGGGGATGATGAATGGAGTTGCCTGCTAGTCTTACACTTCTGTGATGGTTTTAGCTGATATTAGTTAGATGATATTCAGTTCCTTGTTGGCACATTGCTGTATGAATCATTCTCATGTTGGCCATGGAGAAGGTTATGATCATGTATAAAACATAAAGGCATTTGACCTGTCTAGACTAAGGCACCTACTCCATGGCAGGCTACAGATTTTGAACTTATGCAGCCTTTGTTCAAGAAGAGATAGATTTTACTAAGTAGCTTTTGTGTAATAATGACCTCCCTTACTGTTCTGCTGTTCTCTTTCCTTATAGGTCAAATATCTATTTTCTGATAAAACGGGAACTCTTACATGCAACATTATGACCTTCAAGAAGTGTAGCATCGCAGGAGTAACCTATGGGTTAGTGTCATATCTCTGTTCCCCATTGCATATTTCCATTGGGTTTACTCAAAAAAACCCAAAATTCACATTTAGTTGCTTTGAAAGTTATCTGGAAATTCTATTTTCTCTTCTGAAAAAAGAAAACTTATTCATGAAGTTTGTTTATCCATTATGTGGTAGATAGCTTGGGGATAGTGGATAAAGTAGACTTGGAGTCAGGATGAACTGGATTCAGATCCCACTGCTGCCATTTTACTCAGTGAATGGTCTTGGGCTACTTGTCTAACTTCCCTGTGTGTGAGACAACTCCCTAGGTCTTATCTACTGCCATAGACAGGTTGTAATCAGTACTGGTGGAAAGAATTCCCCAAACTAACAAAATCATAGATTCTTTACATGCTAACACGTGAAGTATGCATATTTATATAGAGACGTTCTTGGGGATGTTTAACTAGCACTTACTGGAATTTTAATAAAAAACTATTGGTAATAGAAAACCTTGATTTATTTCATATATATATATATATATATATATATATATATATATAAAATATATGTGTGTGTATGTATGTGTATATATATGTACATATGTATGTATATATGTGTACACATATATGTATATATGTGTGTATGTATGTGTATATATATGTACATATGTATGTATATATGTGTACACATATATGTATATGTGTGTGTGTATATACATAAATATACACACACATATAATATATACTATGTATGTGTAGTGTGTGTGTATGTATAAAAAAATTTTGTAGTGAAGAGCCTAAAGGACTTTGTAGACTTCCTAGAGTCAGGAAGACCAGAGTTCAAATCCTGACTCAGATACTTGCTAGTTGTGTGACCTTGTGGGGAGAATAATGGCACTTACTCCTCAGGATTGTTGTGAGCATCAAATGAGATAGTATTTGTAAAGCATTTGCAAACCTTAATGTGATATACATGTATATATTTATATATATACATATTTATTAGCTATTAGAATTATCATTATATATTTAATACAATTGACAACAAATTATAAGCCATTTGTTGACTCAGTCTTTGTTATAATATGTTGTTGTGCTCACACTCTATAACATGTGCATTTTTCTCACACATCGATGGACAGTCATTTCCCAGAGTTGGAAAGAGAACGCTCCTCAGAAGACTTCAGGTGAATATCTATTAGAACTAATGTGAAGTCACTGTGCATGTAGCTATATGTGTGTATGTATGTATGTATTTATTTTTGATGGCTTCCATTTATATTTCTCACTTGCATGTCTGTGGACATAATTATAAAATATATTTATGTTGTAGTTTAAGAATACTGTATAGTCATAATATCTGATGAACTATGGCTTAAATAATGATGGAGGTATACAAGAATGCCATCTGTGGCCTGAGAAATATTGATGGATTAATACTTTTTCTCAGATTGAGATTGAGATGTTAAATGGAAAATAGGGGAATGTCATTTTAGGTTTTGCTAACACCATTCTACATGTTTGCTTTTATTTCCTTTTTCAACCCAGCTAATAGCCTTTACTTTATTGTAATCTCTGTGATTTTTCTTTCTCCTACTTTTCATCCTTTGCTGTAGCTGATTTGTATGCATGAAATAAATAATCTTCTTATGCTTCTGCATCCCCCTTTCCCTTATTCTGACCCCAGGTCTTGTTTCTATATATGTACAAGTTGTTTGAGTGCAGATTTGCCCTGCCTTATTACCTCCTTGAGGGCTGTAATAATGTTTTATATGGTTGTCTGCACCCTTGTATTACCTGGTGGTACTTAAATTTTAGTTCTCTTTGAGTAGCAAAAGGATGGACAGATGTTGCCTCTGGGTTCTTTCTAGCTATGAGCTGTGATTTTACATAAATATGCACATGCTAATAAGAATATATTTCTATTACATGGAATGTTTTTTCTGTTCTTCCTTGCAGTCAGTTGCCTCCTCCCACTAGTGATTCATGTATATTCGATGACCCAAGATTGTTACAGAACATTGAAAATGATCATGTAAGTTTTTGGTTTGGTGCCAAGTTAATTGCTGATGCTGTGCATCTCTAAAGGGATGTACTTTTTTTTTTTTAGCATTTATGAATCCTAAACATAGGGATGGGATGGGATCCTGAAATTTTACAATGTATCAGCACCTCAGGCAAGAGACTTTATGCTAATAATATTCAGCTTGGAAAACTGAATATGGTAGTATGCCCTTGAATGTAAATGTTATACAGTGAAGTAATTGGTGTAGGGGCAGGGATATGTCAGTTATGTTCTATTTTTATCACTTGTAGAGGTCTTGAAGAATTCTTACTTAAGAGGCATCTTAAACTAGGTTTTAAAAATGTTTAAGAAGAATGAGGTATAGAAAAAGTAATATATTCAGTCAGTCAACTAGCATTTATTAAGTCCTTACTATGTGCCAAGCAGGTGCTAAATCCTGGGGATATAAAGATAATTTTAAAAATGTTTAAAGGCTTGCTAAAGTTATCTTCCAGATACATAGGTCTGATCACATTCATCCTGCTCAAAATGATTTAATGGTTTTCTGTTGCTTTGGGGATAAAATGCTTAACCCTTATGCTGGTATAAAAGGCCTTCCACATTCTAGTTACACACTTATCTTTAGAGTCTTATTTTATATTGCTCCCCTGCAAGTATGCAAATATTTATTAAGCATAAACTATATTCTAGGCATTAGGGGTATTTGTAGACACAAAAAAGAAATAAGCCCTAACCTTCAGAAGTTTTTATTCTGTTGAGGGGGGGAGGAACATGAATGCAGATAAGTAAATTAAACATTTATACAAAATAAATACAGAGTAATTTTTATGGAGAAGGGATAAGAAAAAAACTTTAGGAATCAGGAAAAACTTTGTTGGAGGTGGTATTTGATTTGAGCCTTGAATAGAGTTTGGGGCATCAAAAAAGGAGGTTGAAAGGAAGAGTATTTTGGTCTTGGAAGAGATGGCTTATGGAAAAGTAGAGAGATGGGGATTTATGGAGAAAATAGCAAACACTCCAATTTGGCTAGAATGTAAAGTACATGAGGATAAGAAACGTGCAGTTAGTGTGGAAGGATGGGCTACAGCCAGCTTCTGAAAGATTTGAAATGTTAGAGGAATATTTTATCCTTGAGGAAATGGGACCACTGGAGCTTCTTGCACAGAATAGCGATGTGGTGCTTCAGAAATATCTCTGGGGCATACAGAATGGAGAGGCTAGTTGCAGGATGCAGGAAAACCAACTAGAAGCCCATTGCAGTTGTTTAAGAAAGAAGTGGTGAGGCCCTGAACTGGGGTGGTAGATGTGTGAACTGAGAGGAGGAGATGGATATGAGATATATGAAGGAGGTAAAATCAGTAAGACTTGGCAAATCATTACCTGTGGGAAGGGGATAGGAAGGGGGAGTTAAGGATTACTCCTAGTTTATGAGCTTGGCTAAAAGAATGGTAATGTCCTCAAGAGAAATAATGAGTTTAGGAGGATCGAGTGTAGTTGAAAACATAATTCTATTTTGGACACATTGAGTTTGAGATGTCTGTGGGAAAACTAGGTGGAGATGTCCAGCAGTCACTTGGAAATGTGGTACTGGACTTCAGGAAAGGGATGCAGGGAATATATGCAGATATATGGGATATGCTGAACTCAATGATGAACTATACAGAGTGATAAGGCTTTGAAATAGAGCCCTATGATAGACCCATGTGAGAGTGTAACAAGTAAGATTCAACAAAAGGTAGACTGAGGCACTTTCTCTTTGGGCAAGATAATTTATTAGCAAGATTTGAAGTAATAAAGCAGATAAATGGTTGCCTCAGTTCAGGCAAAGATCCTGAATTGCAGGCACAGATCCCTCTTATAAGCATAAAACAAAGACAAGAAGAGGATTGGTGAGGAAATAATACAATTATTTATAGGGTTGGCAACATCACAGGGGTGAAGAATTATGATTGGTTATATAGCTGAGGCATGGGAAACAATATGATTGGTTGGAGATTGGGAATGAGGGGCTGGCAACAACCCCCTCCTTCCCTCCTATGCCTAAGAAAAGTTCATTGTTTGAGTCCACCAGCAAGGTTAGAGATAGTAGACCAGACTTCTTAGGATAATGAACCAGATATCCTTGAAGGGTAGCTCAGTGCTGTAAAGATAAGGAGACTCCCTGGTATCCACCCTTACCCCTCAAGGATATCAGATTTCCCTGAGGTGAGAATAAAATAGTGACTAGCAGGAGAATTGGATTTCTAAACTTAACTCATTACAGGCCAGATGAATTTCTGAACTAAGTTCAGAGACAAAGAACCATGACTTAGTTATCAGACAAAATCAAGTAATTTTAAATAGGGTCAATAAAAAATGATACACAATCAACTTAATCTTCTCAATTGAGAGAATATGGATTATGAGCCCTCTAAGGAGCATGAGAAGGAGTGGTGAGGCATGGAGAAGAACCAGACACTATCAAATATTGCGGAAAGAATAAGAAGGAAAAGTATTGAGAAAACATTGGCTGTAGCAATAAAGATAGCATTTCTGACTTTGATCAGAGTAGTTTCAGTTGACTGGACTCAAACCAGATTGGAAACTGAACAGGAGGGACAAGATAGAGGAAACAACTGTAGATGACTAAGATCTATCAATGAGTATTAATTAAGTGCCACTACGGGTACAGCACTGTACTGGGAGCCAGGCATTCAAATACAAAGAATGAAACACTCTCTCTTCACAAGAAGCTTTTTTATGTTACTAGAGGAGATTAGAGGTATGTAATGATAATGATAATAATAATGACAACAATAATATTCGACATAAATATAATTAACAAATACAAAGTAGTTAAATATAAAGTAGTTGAGGGGCAGCAGTTAAAGAAATGAGACAATGCATCATATAGAAAATGGTGCTTGAGTTGCATTTTAAAGGAAGAGGGACTCTGAGGCAGAAGTAAGGAGGGAGTGCATGGCAGGCAAAGTACAAAGGTACAGAAGTGGGAACTAAGAGTATCTTGTGTGAAGAATAGAGATGTCTGCTTTGACTGAATTGCAGAGTGCCTGAGGAATCAAATCTAATGAGGCTGAGAAAGATAAGTTGGCATCAGGTTACAAAAGGACTTTAAATGCTGAGGAGAATAATTTATTTCCTCAGTAGGGAACCACTGAGATTACTTGAGTAGAGGGAGTCACATGATCAGATCGACTCCACAAGAATGAGGATTAAGCATGATAACTCCTTCCTGATAGAGATGATGGACACAAATACTAAATGAGATACATTTTTGGACATGACCAATAAGGGAATTTGCCTCAATTGACTGTATATTTGTTATGAGAGTTTTCTTTTTCTTTTGATAGTGTTCAATTTGGGGAGGACAGGAGAGGGAGAGAAAATAAATGCTTCTTAATCGAAAATAATAAAATTAAATTTTAGAAAGGGAAAATAACTTTGGCAGCAAAGTGTGAGATGGACTATAATGGCAAAAGCCTTCAGAGAGGGAGGCCAGTTAGGAGATTGTTGCAGTCATTTTGGGAGAGCAGTGTAGCTATGTGAGGGTAGCTATGTGAATGAAGGGAAGGGGTCATATGTGTAGATGGTGTGCAGGCAAAAGTAGCAAGATTTGGCAACTGATTAGATATGTGATGCAAGGAAGCATGAGTTGAGGATAATGTAAAGTTTTACACTGAGAGATAAAGAGAATAGTGGTACCCTAACCAGAGATAAATGCATTTAGAAGAGAAGAGTTTTTAATAGAAAAGAATAATGAGTTCTGTTTGGGGGTATATTGAGTTTAAGTTAATCCTGGGACATCTAGTTGGAAATGTTCAATAGACAATTGAGCAGATAGGTTGTAGTTAGATTACAGTAGATTTTGAAAGCCAGGCAAAGAAATTTGGATTGATTGAATAAGGTACCAATTATAGGTTTTTGAGCAGAAGAAGAAGTGTTTTATGAATTAATCTCTAATTAACATGCAGGATGGATTAGAAAGGAAATTGGGCTCAAAGAGAATAACTTGGAGGCTGTTAAAATATACAGGTATGGAATAATGAAAATCAGATTTAAGTAGAAATGGATGAAATGAGTCCAAGAGACCTTTCAAGGAAGAAATAACAGCATATAATTTTGACAAATTAATTATGTACAGGAATTATTAGTGTTCAAAATGACTTGGAGATACTGTGCAATTTCTGCTCTACAACAATGTATTTTGTTTGTATTAGAATATTTCCTATCCCAGGATAGTAGATTAACACATTTCAGATTTTCATAAGGGGTGAAACAGTTAATCTTTAGTCCTGTGTTAGGAGCAGTCCTTTCCTGAGCATTCCATTTAGTTAAGGAAGAATACTTTTGTATTTGGGGAAAGGGTGAGCTTTTATGTTCCTTTCCTATGCATTTGTAGAAGAAAGAATTTTCTTTAAAATAAAAAAAAATTGTGCTTTGATTTCTTTGGATGATTTCATAGAAATTGGAATCAAAACTGGAAGGGACATAGAGATCCTATAGTCTAACTTCTTGGTATTATAGGAGAGAAGAATGAGTGTTGAAATGACTTTCTTCTGTGTCTTTGTATAGGCTGTCTTTCTTACTAGCCTCTGCATCCCAGATGCCTAGTGTATTTTCCTTTTTCCACTCTGTTTTTTGAATATGTAATTCTGTTCCAAGTTCAACCAGTGCCCTCACCTTCAGGAAGCTTTTCTTGAGTCTCAAGTCGTTTATTTCCACTACCTCCAATTACTTTGTATTTATTTTATGTATATTTTTATGTTTATTTTTCTATGTGTGCATGTTGTTCCTTTCCCCTCCCCTTTGCCATCTCCACCCCTCAATGTAGTAATAAATGACCGTAGTAATCTAGTGTTAGATAAACCCAAAGATCCAAATTTTGGGGGTAAGAACTCAACATTTGACAAACATTTCTGGGAAAACTGGAAAGCAGTTTGGCAAAAACTAGGCATAGACCAATACTTCACTGTATACCAAGATAAGGTAAAAATGGATAAACTATTTAG